TCTTTCCCCAAATTCTCCTCTGTCTTTTTCATGTTCTTTAGCTCCCCCGGGTGTGGCGTGGCCCGCCTCTGAAGTGTTCTCTGAAAACAGACAGTGGAGTGAGTGCTTAGGTTTTATCCGTTTCTCTTTCAGACACGCAGCTCCCGGCAGCCTCCAAAGCAGAGCCTGCCTCCTGCAGACCATGAGGAGCTCTGAGCACTTACCCCGGCTTCCCGGTGGTTAATGGGCGAGGACAGTGGTGCATGTAACTTATCTAGCCAAGAGAGAGGATTGCTTTCGGAATAAAAGAAGACGTTTTAAAATAGGACATTACTGCTTAACAATAAAGTTCCATGAACTGTGAGAAAAAAGATAAAAGATTTATAAGATGTAATTGTGGGGTGTGAAGGAAAAAAAATGAAGGGGTAGAGTTCTGAATTAAAATCACTGTAATGTCCTGTTACTCAGAGTGGCTGTGGCTGGAGGCAGGGAGTTGAAGAAAAAGGAGAGTAAAGAGAAGGCCGCCTGCCCTTATCCTGCTGTGCGCTGTGCATATGACCCACTAGGGAACCGTCACACGCGCCTCATAGCTCCTCATAAAGACCACGGAGCCAGGAGTGAAGTGAAAGGAGAGGGGCAATACTTTAAAATTATATCATTTCACAGGCTGCATGTTCTTCAGCTCATAAAAGGGCATTTACAGCTTTTAAATGCAGGAGGAGCTAAGTAGGCTAATAACATGAGAGCACTACAGAGGCAAGAAGTCCCTGGTGAGAGGATCGCCCTCAGGAAAGAGCCGGCAGTGAGGGATTGTCATGCCTAAGTCCTGCTTTGCACAGACGCTGTAAGAGGAGAAAATCCCCTTTGGTGACAGCTGGAATAACAGAGACTAACATATAATAATTTAAAAGCCACCCCCGTTTGGGGGCTGCGAGTACTCCCGCGAAGCTCTGCTTATGAAAATCTCAATGAGTGAGGAGTTTAAGAGCCAAAGTCAACGTGTAGGAAGAGCTGTCGCTGACGCCGGGAGGCGACTGAGACACACTCAGGTGTGGATGAAAGTGAGGCTGAGAGGCACTTTCACGTCTATTCCTGATTTCTGACTAAAAACTCCTTAAGGAATCCAACTAAGGCCACAGGTGAAGAGGGGTGGGGGAGAGAGAGAGAATTCAGCACAACTGAACTTGAGCTGCGACACAGCAGGAAGTGTGAATGCAGCCAACATGATATCATAATACCTGGCAGTGTGGGAAGGGGCTTAATTCAGTGGGAACAACAAAAAAGAAAAATCAATTTTAAGAAGGCAGTGGTGGTGGGAGGGGAAACTATCACAAATAAAGAAAAGAAGTACCATAAACTATTCAGACAAAAAGACCCAAACGTTCCACTGGCCTTACACACACTTGGTGAATCTGTACCAAGAAGTACCTAGTTTTGTCTTCTAAAAATCCTAAAATTCTAAAGGCAAACCAGAAAATACACTAGTTGAAAACACAAGAAATCCTTATTAGGTGCCATTATTAATCTTGGAAGGCTTTTAAATTTTGAACTTCTACTGAGGCCAAGAATCTCCATTTCCATACCATTTCGTTGTCTTCTTCATCTTTTTCATCTTCCAAAAATCGGATTGCACTGATTCTGTGTACTGCCCGCTCGTTCCAGGCCTCGTCGGAGACGTCATTCACCAGGCTCTCCAGGGCCCCACAGCGAGGCAGGTTCTCTGTCACGACAAAGGCACATCAGCAGGGAGCTCGGGTCGGTGACTGGACACTGCTATGCAGTAATGTAAACAATTAAAAACAAAAAGAAAAGGCACTGGCCGTATGGCTCAGCTGGTTCAGCGTCACCCTGTGCACCCAAGGACCTCGGGTTCGACTCCCAGTCAGGGCACGTACCAGGTGTGTTTGATCCCCAGTCTGGCGCACGTATGGGAGAAACTGATGGATGTGTGTCTCTCTCTCTCTCCTCCGTCCCTCTCTAAATCAGTAAAATCATATCCTTGGGTGAGGATTAAAAAGAAAAAGCCTGGGACAGAGTTGCTGTGTCTTTTCAATGATGCAGAACACTAACTTCAAAAACATTCTCTGGGGCCGCACGCGTCGGGGACCAGGACTAGCTGGGGCCGCACGCGTCGGAGACCAGGACTAGCTGGGGCCGCACGCGTTGGGGACCAGGACTAGATGGGGCCGCACGCGTCGGGGACCAGGACTAGATGGGGCCGCACGCGTAGGGGACCAGGACTAGATGGGGCCGCACGCGTCGGGGACCAGGACTAGATGGGGCCGCACGCATCGGAGACCAGGACTAGCTGGGGCCGCACGCGTCGGAGACCAGGACTAGATGGGGCCGCACGCGTCGGGGACCAGGACTAGATGGGGCCGCACGCGTCGGAGACCAGGACTTGCCGCAGTAACACATTCTACCACGTTTTTCCCTTGGGGTCTTCAAAGCTCATCTAACACAGGTGGGGCTGGCAAGTGGCTTTGGGCCCTTCTACTTAGGGGACTCCTGCTCTCCCAGGGTACTCCAGTTCTCCTCCATCAAAATCAGCACTCAGCAAAGGATTTGTAACAGCACTCTGATGTTAGTGTGAATACTTTTTGAAACTACACACATTTACAAAACAAAGATACAGTGACTCAAAACAACTCACTGGCTTAAAAACAGCTTGCCAACTGAAGTCAATACTCATGCTCCAAACCCTCAGTTTGGATTTTAAGTGATTTTTAAGGACTATCTGTATTTTCAACCTCGGCTATCATTCAAAACCAAGAGGGTGTTTAAGGAATTTCAGGCTTAAACAGGCGTGAGTGGTACTTTTTCTGTAAAGATGCAGGGGACCTTCCCGGAGGTGGCCCGCAGGGACCTCACCTGGGCCAGCTCTAAGGGGCAGAATTGGACAAAAATACAGTCACATGTGAAAGTGAGAGATCTTATGGGGAGATATGAACTCCTACTATTCTTGTGGTCAAATGAACACAGTCCTTAAATTCACCTTGGCAAGTAGGTTCAGAAGGCAGCTGAGGAAGTAAGACACAGGTTAAAATCTTCTCTCCTGTGCTGAGGTCTGTGTCTGTCTGGAACGTGAGCAGAGGCTGGGACTGGTTGTCAGATAACCACAAAGCCTTCAACTTCAAGGCCGTGAGAGACAAGGGCAGATGCGACAACCTAATATAAAACAAAAGAAGACATCAGGCCTCAAATGGTGTAATGCAATCAACTCCTGTCAATAAAAACAGCAAAGAATGAGAACACCTCCTGGGGCTGGGTTGATAGTAAGATACCCGATTTATGCTTACAGGTAGACTGAGTAGTCTGTGCTTCCCTTTCTGCTATCACCTATCTCAGTGATGGCGAACCTTTTGAGCTCAGCGTGTCAGCATTTTGAAAAACCCTAACTTAACTCTGGTGCCGTGCCACATATAGAAATTTTTTGATATTTGCAACCATAGTAAAACAAAGATTTATATTTTTGATATTTATTTTATATATTTAAATGCCATTTAACAAAGAAAAATCAACCAAAAAAGTGAGTTCGCGTGTCAGAGGTGTCATAGGTTCGCCATCACTGACCTATCTCATCAGCACCGCCAGGCAATAGGGCAAGAAATGAGGAAATTACGGGGCACATAATTCAGTCCTGCACTCAGAGGTCCCGACTTAAAGAGAAAACCAAAGCCAGTGTAACCGCGGAAGCTGAGTTCTCACACAGGATGGCAACACCTTGGCGCCGGGGCTGGTGGGAGCCTGTGGGATTACCTGTTTCCAGCAGCACCTGGCAAATAGGACGGGAGGAAGGAGATGCGTGGGGTGCTGAAAAAGTTAAGTTGCAGTTAAACTAAAGGCTAAAACATTTTTTTCATGGACTCCATTTGCTTTCTCTAGGGAGATTTTAAGTGTTCCATCCTAAACTTTTTATCTTTCAGTTTCTAGAAGCTCCCACTTCTCAGACGCCTACGTGATAATTAATATCCACATCAGATTGCTTCAGTTTCAAATGAGATCATGTATATATAAAGCAAAGCACTTTTAAAATTGTAATGTGACACCTAAAGATTAGTTTCATGTTTATATTTGCACAAATATTTCACAGCTTGGCTGCAAGCAGTTAGGTCTATTCAGTAAAGATCACCACAGAAACCATGGTCTTGGTACCTCCAGAGGTTAGCACAGTGGTTCTCAACCAGGCGTGACTCTGCCCTCAGGGACATCCGGCCATGTCTGTAGACATATGGGATCTAGTGGGCAGAGGCTGGGGTTGTTGCTACACATCATACAATACATAGGACAGCTCCCATAACAAAGAATTATCTGGCCTCAAATGCTAACAGTGCCGAGGGTGAAAACGCTGCTTAGTAAAAACTAATGCTTTATACAAGTTACTAATTCACTTTGCAAAACAACCAAACCCATGTTGCTACCAGAAATTCAAGGTTTAAAGAACCTAAGGATATATCTGATCACATATTTTCCCACTAAGTTGACTCCAAATATTAAATTATGGATCAGTCTTAGAAGTGACTGTTTAAGCTACTCACATTCTGTTAACTACTATATGAGGCAAATTTTCTTAGAAGAGACATCTAGCCCATTAATCCCATGAAGAATGATAGGACAGCATGTATTCCTGGGGTTCTTTCTTTGACAAAATTGTACACCTACCCCCGGTTAATATATGAGGAAGATAGACCTGTAGATTTTACCAACAGATTAATACTGAGTTATTAGAAATACTCAGGCAATGCTTGTCTCACTGTGTTTTGCTTTATTGCACTTTACAGGTGTTGTGTGTTTTACAAATTCTAGGCAAGACCCTCCACCAGCTAAAAGATTACACTCACTTCATTGCAGAATGAAGTGAGAGGGTCTGGAACTGAACCCACAATCATCTCTGAGGTCCGCCTGTATACCAGTCTGAACTGACAGACTTGTGGGAAATAAACCAGAAATTTTTGCAGAGCTATGAAGAGAAGGTATACTCTGATAATATAAAACTAATAAGGAAAATGTAATCTAAGGAAAATGTTAAAATGGTCAAGCTACTTTAACAAATGAAATAAAAAAGTATCAAGGAGTGCACAGAGAATATTAACAAACGCGAGATCAACAAATTTTTCAGGAGAACAATTAATTAATATGTTTTGTAAAGATTTCCAATGTTAGAGCTGTGGAGAGGAGACAGTATATTCCTAACGTGAGTCCATGGAGATAGATGCCTCCCACGCACGTGGACTGGGTGGAAAGCACGGCGCAATTGTATCTATGTGGGACTCAGGTTCTGAAATCAATGCATCCATGAGAACTGCATATGTTAAGTTCCCTTGAAAAGTCTCTATGCATCACACATTGCAATATTTCACTACTGAGCGACACACGAGGTGAGAAATATGGATTTCTAAATCCCAAATCTACCCAGTGCAGTGAAATCCATGCTCAGACCATGAGAAAGAGGGCAGGGGACAGCAGATTCCCAGCTCCACGCCTCCTGTTCTGAGGCACTGCTTCTTCGAGGGGAACGGAAAGGGAAATCGCTCAGGCTTATACCAGTTATTTCTCCCTCTGCCCAAAGGAAGTCATGTACTCGAAGGCCAGGAAGTTAAAGACAGAAGACATGTATTCGCCAGGCACTGTAACAGTGATTTTTTAGAAGAGCCTAATATACGATGAAAGCTTAAAGTACATTAAACTTTTCCATTTTATTGAACAAAAGGATCATTTATTTGAAAGTCTGTTCCTATTTCTGTTTTAAAAGAACATAAGCTAATAATATCCTCCAGAATGTTTAAAGTTTCAAGTCTAGTGCAAGAAATCTATAGTCAGCATCTCTACCTTTCTTAATCACGAGAACATGAAGAAGAAGAAAAAATCAAGATTTGAAAGCTGGCACAAAACACAGGTAACTGAAACACGGTCATCGTACCTTCTCAGACTAACACTGGCTCCCTAGCAAATGCTGAAGCACAGGTATACAGCAGATGAAAGGCCAGGCAGAGCATCAGTAATAAACACAGCTTCTACAAATGACAAAACCACACGGTAAAAGCTAACACAGGTCACTGGACTCTACAACACATCTCATAATCACATTCTGCAAGCCATGTGAGATTAATTTGTTGTCTGAAATGCCAGTTTTCCTGCAAAGAATCAAAGTGCCAGCTTGAATATGCCCGTTGCCCACACAACACATGAGCCTGTTCATAGTGTCTTGCAGACAGAGGTGCTCCTGTGATGTCAGAGAGAAAAGAAGGCCCTGTGTCCGCCCGTCTGCACACATACTGGGCGGGGCTGACCCTCTCACTGACTCTCTGTGGCCTGGGGGGAAAGAGACACATAGGCCTCTGTTTCTCTTGGGTGAACCATCCAGACACAAGTGGAAAATAGATAAATAGATATTATATATCCCGGCTTTCCAGACGAGTTAATAATACATTTTTGGTTTATTCTGGAAGCTTCTGTACACTGCAGAATCAACACAAGAAACCATAGCTCCACTGTACACTGTTCTATTTAGGACCACATCCCCCCACTCCCCACCCCAAAATAAAAGGCCAATACTTACTCCTGACATCAATGGTACAAGGGTGAAAGCAAATGAATAAATAAACCACGAGTCTCTCATTTCCAGTACGTCCATGACCAACCCAACCTGAAGAAACCTTCCCCACCTCAACTTCTACAGCAATTGCTTGTCAAATGTATTTAAGAACTAAACATTAAACAGTCTACTGACTAATGTAATATTAAGTTCCCCAGTAGTTGCACACTTCTTACAATTAAATATTTCATCTGTTTTTACCTCCTACTAGAACTTTTAGTTTTAAGCAAAGTTTTCAAAAATGTTTAAAGATATACAAAGAGAACATAAGCAATGAAAAAAATTAAACAATATCAAAATATCTAAAGTGAAAGCCCCTGTAACCCTAAGCCTCCACCCTTCCTCTAGGGAAACTACTATTAATATTTTGATGTACCACAATAGGTATGTCTTCTTAAAAACATGAACAAAAATGATAATGCTCTGTATACTTGCTCTACTAATCAGTATCTGGGTCTCCTGTGTCTCTACAGAGAAATATCTCATTCTTAGAACTGCTTAGTATTTTATAACATAGCTATACTGTTGTATTGTGTTTTGTCTTTTAATACTTTTATTTTTCCCAGCTTTATTAAGGTCTAACTGACATACAACATTGTGTAAGTTTAAGGTGTATAACATGATGATTTGATACATTTAAAATTGTGAAATGATTACCACAGAAGACTTAATTAACACTGCCATTACCTCACATAATTACCACTGTGTGTGTTAAAAACACTTAAGATCTGTTCTCTTAGCAATTTTCAAGTATATAATACAATAATACAATACTGTTACCTACAGTCACCATGCTACACATTAGATCCCCAGAACTTACTCATCTTATAACTGGAAGTGAATACCCTTTGACCAACACCTCCCATTTCTCCCACCACCCTCTCCCCTCAGTCCCTGGCAACCACATTCCACTCTTTATTTCAATGAATTCAACTTTTTTAGATTCCACATGTGAGATCATACAATATTTGTCTTCCTTCATCTGACTTATTTCATGCCCTCAAGGTCCATCCATGTTGTCATAATGGCAGAATTTCCTTCTTTCTCATAGCTGAATAATATTTCAATACATACACACACACACACACACACACACACACACACACACACTAGAGGCCCAGTGCACGAAATTTGTGCACGGGGGGAGGTCCCTCAGCCCGCCTGCACCCTCTCCAATCCAGGACCCCTCGGGGGATGCCCTGCGGGATCAGGCCTAAACCGGCAGACATCCCTCTCACAATCCAGGACTGCTGGTTCCTAACTGCTCGCCTGCCTGCCTGCCTCTAACCACCTCTGCCTGTCGACCTGATCACCCCTAACCATCTCTGCCTGCTGGCCTGATAACCCCCTAAATGCTCTCCTGGCCTCTAACCACCTCTGCCTGTCGACCTGATGCCAGCCTGATCACCTCTAACTGCCCTCCCCTGCTGGCCTGATCACCCCTAACCACCTCTGTCTGCCAACCTGATCGTCCTACCACCTCTGCCTGCCAGCCTAATCGCCCCCTAACTGCTCCCCTGCAGGCCTGATCACTCCTAACCACCTCTGCCTGCAGGCCTGATCGCCCCCTACCTGCTCCCCCTGCCGGCCTGATTGCCCCTTAACTGCTCCCCCCACTGGCCTGATCGCCCTTAACCACCTCTGCCTTGGCCCCTGCCACTGTGGCTTTGTCTGGAAGGACGTCCGGAAGATGTCTGGTCTAATTAGCATATTACCCTTTTATTAGTATAGATCTTCTATTGATAGATTCTTAGCCATATCTTGGCTATTATAAATAACACTGCAACGAACATGGGGGTCCACACATCTCTGATATCCTGTGTTCAATTCCTTTGAATACATACCCAGAAGTGGGATTGCTGAATCTTTTTTTTTTTAATATATTTATTTTTTACAGAGAGGAAAGGCCAGGGATAGAGAGTTAGAAACATCGATGAGAGAGAAACATTGACCAGCGGCCTCCTGCACACCCCCCACTGGGGATGTGTCCACAACCAAGGTACATGCCCTTGACTGGAATTGAACCCGGGACCCTTCAGTCCGCAGGCCGACGCTCTATCCACTGACCCAAACCGGTCAGGGCGGATTGCTGAATCTTACAGTCATTCTAATTTTAAGTTCTTGAGGAACCTCCATACTGCTTTTTCTACAGTGGCTGTACCAGTTTACATTCCCACCAACTGTGCACAAGGTTTCCCTTTTCTCCACATCCTTGTTATTTCTTATCTTTTTCATAATAGCCATGCTAACAGTTGTGAGGTGATGTATTTTAATATATGTTTAAATTAATATTTTAATTTTTTATTTAAATTCAAAGGTATAAACTGTTTCCCCATTAACAGTCACTGTTAGTATCTGGAACTACTAACACTGCAGAGAAGATCCTCAAATACCCAATTTTGTGTGTCTGGTGGGTAATCCTCTGGGAGGGGGTCTAATAAATAAATGTATATCCTGTGTCCATTCGTAGCTGATGATACAAGACACCTCCTCTGTTATTGTTCCAGAAGGTCTGATGTTTACTTTCCAAGAGCCATTTTATAGTTATCCTTGCTGTGACTTACTGTATCCAATTTATCAAAGAAACTTTTTGGAAACTAAGATGTAGTCTCTGTGCTATTTGCTATTTTTATATGCTTGACTGCAGAGGCAGAACTTCTCTCACAGTGGGTATGATTTCCCATGGTGTGACATTTCTCCAGCCAAAGAGCTGACATGGTAGGCCTTTTTATTATTAGTTTCTATACTGATACTTTAAAATGAGTAGTAATTAAGTATTTTAATAGGCTTAAAATTTGGTTATTAATCTATATATACCTGGACTAAATGACACACTTAAGTGACTCAGATGACAGCTACGTAACTCAACTTTTTAACTGGCTTTTCTCCACCCCAGCCCAAGCATAATAAAAACTTAACTTTCCCTTCTTCCAAGAACTGGAGAATGGAGCCATCACTCATGTGAAAACCAGTTTTTAGACACCAGAGCCATCTTTCCACCCAAGAATTTGTGACGCAAATCCACACTCACCAGCATGGCAAGAACCAGAGGAGGCTGGGACTCACTGAGCTGCTACTGCTGGAGGCGAGAAGTGGGGACACCACCCTTCTCAAGCTGTAAATTGCATGCCAGGCTAAGTCCCACAGAAATGCCACATTCAGATCAAACTAATCCCGAGTTTTCAGTCACCAGTTAGTGGTCTTAAGAATCTCTCAGGATGTCCTGAAGAATGCACTCTGACAGGGTGAGCACTCCGGGAGGCCATGCCTCGACCCCAGGTTCCTGTGGAGCGTGGGTTACTTAGCACGCCATCTGCAATCCATCAGCAAGAATGAGTGATGGTGCTGAGCCTGACCTAAGTGACCATTAGCTCAATCCCCCAGACTCAATCCCCCAGATGGTGTGGACCATCTGTCTTCCCCTGGTTCAGCACTCCCTCTCCTATTTAACTATAATGCTCAAAAGCATTTTCAATTCCTCTTGGCAGGCAGTGAAGCCTGTGATACAAAGCATTTTAAAGTGGCCTGCTATTCATGCTGCAAAACTAACATGTGTAACGCTTTCCTAGGCACCTACCATGTGCCAGGTACTGTGAAGGGACAAAGGATATAGTGACACATAAACCACAACACCCGCCTTCAGGTAACCTTAGGCTAGGAGGGCTCCACAGGTGCAAACAGGCCATGGTCAGTGCTGCATTAGCAGTAAATGAAAATGCAGATTCAGGGAGAGGAATGCTTTCTGGAGAAAATGAAAGCATCAGTGATGAAGAATAAAAGTAGGGAAATCGAGAAGAGGGTCCCAGCCAGACAGAACAGCCTGTGTAGGCTCAGGGGGAAGAAAGTGCGTATGACGTTCGAGGTGATGCAATTAGTTCAGATTGGCTAAAACAAATCAATATTCTACAAGGAGAAGAGAAGATACATTCCAGAACTGGTGAGCAGTCTAACCTGACCTCCTGCCAGGCACCTGAGAAACGCTGCTGCTGTGATCCTGGGGATGCTAGCCTGGTGGCTCTTCCTTTTTAACTTATGACTCACTTGGTGATTCTGACATTAGTTGTGGATCCTCTTCGCCAGAAAAGTGTCTCTGAATGCAATCATGTTCACAACTTGGGAGAGTTCAGCGTCACCGGCAGAGCATCTCAAGACCCCTGATTCAAACCTGGTTCAAACTCATGCAGGCTCAGCGGAAGCTGAGGCCCACACTGACGTACAGAAGCTGAGGTGAAACCTGCGTCTCCCAGTTCCCGGCACTGCTCCGTCCCTTACATCACTGCCCGCTGCTCGGGGAAGCGTGTGTACAGAGGGTCCGCGTACACTGGGAAGTACGCTCAGGTATCTCTGACCTTCTCTACTCCACGCGGCTCAGTCACTCCAGGACCTAGACTGAAAACTTCCTGGGCCTGGGTCGTTCGACTAGTCAGTATATATTCCATCATCTGATGGAGCAAGGCAAGATGGCAAAGATGCACGGCAAAGGCGAGGGTGGGTGAACATCTGTTTCTTTCTCTCAAGCAGCGCAAACAGAACATGCTCACCTGTTCCCTGCCACATCCAGGACGTGAAGCTCTGCGGCCTGTGACACCTCAGCAGGGAGCCGGGTCAGTCTGTTGTCCCGCACGCAGAACACAGTGAGGCTGCAGCACCCACCGATCTGCAACAGGAAAGAAAACACAACTTGTTTCCAGATTGATTTTTTTGGGGGGGAAATGGTGGTGGGCCTGTTTATCAAATGGCATGAAAAGGATGCATGAAGTTATACCACATGATTTGAAGTCTCTAATGACCAACTATGCTTAATTTAAATCATACAAAATAGAATAGTCCAATGTGTTCATAAAAATCTCTGCATAACACTAGACACACATGTTCTAAATTAAAACAAGAAAATAAACAATATAGTCTAAAAATTTCATTCTGGAAAGGAGTCATTTTCTATTGCTATCTAATACAACCACATCTTTTAAATACATTCACCAAGCACATAGGTCCAGACAAGTATTTTGTGGTCATATGGAAACACCAGGATTCTAGGTTTCAAAAGTTAGGCCAATCTCTCTCCCTCTCTCTCTCTCTCTCTCTCTCTCTCTCTCACACACACACACCCCTTTGAAGATCTGTCCATCCCATTAACTTCAGTGCTCTCAGCTTTTCAGTTTATTTAAAATAGTAGGAGGTCATCCAATAGATGAAGCAGTACATTAATTTCCACCATACTTTTAATAGCTTCCATTCACAAGTTAGTTTGGTAACTTCATTTTCCTTTGACCAATGGAATTCAATAATATTTTTAGCCAATTTGGTAAATACACACATTAATCTCCTCAGCTACGACCTGCTGATAAAAGCATAAGCCAATATCTACATCCACACCAAATTTGGTTAGCACTTATTTTTTTTAAAGCAAGCAATTCAAAGACAATTGAGCTTCATATAATTGGTCTTCAACGAAGAACATAAACACAAAAGAATTCAGTGATGCTCCCAAACAAATTGGCTGTGGTCTCTACTGTCAGGAAAGCTGTACCACGGGGCGAGAAAATAACTGGATCCCAGGCGCACCCTTGGCAGGATTGCCTGTGCTCCCCAATGCCTCCTGTGCTCCTCCTCACCCAGAGCAGGGCTCGGAAAGGCTCACGAAGGGACCCACTGATGGCGCTCTGACACGGGAAAGCACTCCAGAGCCTCCACTTGAGGGGGGGCCAAGGCCTGACTGGATCTCCAAGGATGTCTGATATAGCTTCTGACCTTTTCTATTTATGGGTTTAGTATATGTACACATCTTAAACAGCAGGATGCCCACTTATGAAATTACCACATAATTACCTTCATGCACAATCTTATTATTACATCTTCCTTTTGGAGTTAATGTAAAGATTTTGAAATAATATCTTTAACCACAATTTTTAACTATATGGATGTAAAAGAAAAACAAACATAAGAACACATGGACTACCATTCGTCTCTGATCACCTGGAGAACACCCAGGTATGCAGAAGGCTTCCCAGCATTCACATCTCCCATCCCAGTAAAACTGGTCCACTTACTGTCCTCTAAGATATACCTTATATTTTTGGTTCAACTACTTCCTTTTGTCTTTCAAAACATTACCAATCATCCAAAATCAGGCTTAACATCCTCCACTCTTTCTGGGACCCGCTGGTCTACACTGACACACTGTTCTCTGCATTTTTTTTTCTTTCATAATTCGGGTCTATACCAACCTTCTGCCAGGTCCTTTACTGAGCTACTGTTTAGTCTGCACATTTACATATAATCAGGGTTCTTGGCCAGTATAGTACCCATCCCATCTTCTCACCTGTGAAGACTATCTACCTACCAACATTTCTCATGTAGGAATGTATATACACTTATATTTATTAATTTACCTACTAGGGAAAGGCTGCTACTTAAAGTTGTTATCTGCAGCTATGTGTAGCAATTTTTTCTAGCAAGAACCACTGTGTTCTCTCTTATAATTTATGAATATAGAGCCCCAGTGTCGTGTCCTACAGGGATCTTTTGTGGGGCCAGGCACTCCTCTCCTCCTTGATGAAGGCAATCATCAGTTTCACTTGGGTGCCCAGGAACATCATGGAAGGAAAGAAATCAAAACCCTGAATCTTTTGAAGATCGACATGAGTAGATTCTTCCTGATAAAGTCAGATGATCCCAACAAAAATCTACTCATGGGAAGGAATACTCAAGGTTCTCATGAAGGGGACTCCCTCATACCCCTTTATGTAGAGGGGTATCTGCACTAGAGTCTGGGCTCAGTGGGGGGACTGCAGCCATAAGGAGGCCTTGCAGGTCAGCACGTGGCTGAGGCTGGACACCCCTGCACGCCCCTCCAGGGAAGCAGAGCAGCTATCAGTTATTCTCCTACATGGCCCTCCTGATGGGACAAGAAGCTCCTGGCAGGGATGTAGAGACAAGACCACATTGTGATTTGGGGCACTTTGTCATGAAGCTGTCCACTGGCCCAGCCACCTGTAGAATATCTGTTTTGGGGTCCTGCTAGTATATCTATGAACATTTTCAATTTGTATCATGTACATATACATTATTCATATCAATCAAAAGTTAATTAATTGATTAAACTGATCAGAGAGGGTCTAAAAGTTGTAGGAGCAATGAAAGTTCTGGACAAGTGAACGTTCTTTAAGTGTGTGGGGAGGAGTAGTGTGAGCACCCGAGGCCTGTGTGAGATGTCTATTGTTTACAGTCTCCTTTTTTTTCTTTTTCCTTTCCCTCTCTAATCTCACACCCATTAGAGATGTCAAAGGGTGGAAAGCAATTGCATTCAAGAGCCTCCTAGGCACTCTGGGTTGTCAGGGCAGGCGACCTCCAGACCTCCATTGTCTATGGTGTTTGGAAAACAATGCCAACAAAGGGCGAGTGTTGCTGCTGAATGCTGGGATGCCTTCATCACTTGCCAAGGCACAGGCTGTCCCAGGCAAACATCCACACAAACAGAGCCCTCTTTCCAAATCAGCCAGGAAGGGATGGAGCAAACTTCTGGCTTTTAGGAAAGATTATTAGGCAGCCCGAACTGTAAATCAAAAGACAATGCTTTATAGATGGCAGAGGAGTGCGGTGTGTTGGAGAGAGTTCGTGCTTTGAGATCACACAGATCTGGGTGAGAATTCAGGCTCGATCATGTTTTGTGAGTTTGACTGTATTACTTTAACCAAAAGTAACAATAAGGATTAAACTAAATGAAACCATGAATATAATCTAGCACCTATCATAGAGCCTGTCTACTGCTACTGCTGCCAAGTAAATGTAGTAGCTATTGTTTTTCAAAGAAGAGAAACTTCTCATCCAAATGAGAAGTGCAGTCACCATGGAGTACCTACTACGCTGGGCCTGCTCTGATGCTGGCGAGCTCTTCCCCGGACCCACCTGAACTTCTTAAAATTCTGTCTCCTTACGATGTCTCACAATGATATTTTATGTCAATAAAAGTGAAGAGGTGACTTGAGTTCAGTAGTACATTATTCATATCATTCAGATGTGCTTCTGCTTTCTCTTTGGGGTTCAAGAAGCACAGTTTACAGGTTTCTTAAAGTGACCATCTGGATAAAATGTCCCTATCACTTAGAAATCTGGGAAACAGAGTCACTGTTTAAGTAACTTATCACCAGTCATGTAGGAAGCTGATATTTTTAAACCTCCCTTAAACCAAAAAGTGCCTTTCCAGAAGACAAGGGGTTGCACTTGGATCTTCTGAGGATCACAGAATATAACTGAGAATCCTTGTGTAGCTGTTTTGTGTCTCAAGTCAAGGTGATACTGTCCTTACCTGTTTGTCACTAATCTAATCCATCTTAAGGAGATGGGACCTGCAGGCTATTAAGCAAACCTTTGGTCAGGTCAACTTTCACTAAGTTTTAATTGCCTCTGGGTTACATTACCCTAGAGAAGATAATCAGATGGATTCAACGATTCAAAAAGAAAGCCTACCTTTGTCTGCCTATATCCCACTTTTGAATCCCTGTATTAAGTAGAAAGGTGCTTTCATTTCTTTTAGTAGCTTCCTTTTGATATTATTTGTAGTAGAAGTGAACCCACATTTCATTGGCAAAAACGAAAACGTACAATAAGCAAAATCTGGTCAAAATACAATTTGAAGAGAAATATTATGATGTGTCATTTCAGAAACCAAAGACTATTTTTTTTGCCCCACTATCATCTATGGCATATTATTCAAATGTCCACTATTTCATAAATGTTTTGGAAACCACGTGGCTTTGGGGCTCTGAATTATTGGGTCTCTGACATCAAAATATCGACTAAGAGCTATGGCATTCTTCTTTCTAGTGATAAGAAAGTAATTTATGTTGACTGAAAAATAAAAACCTTATACACGCACACACACACACACAAGAACAAGGAGAAAATAACTGAAGTCCCATCCGAATACAAAGGGATAATCAGTATTTAAAAATTTGAGGGACAATCTTTCAGTATTATTGCCATGCATTTGATTCTGCACATACACTTCAACAAAATTAGGACCAACACTAGGACCTTCAGCACCTTTGTTTCCATATGGCATCAAGAAAGTTTTCCCATGTCATCACATTTCTAAAAAGATTTTTACTGACCACATAATTATCTTCTTCTACAGATGTATCTCAGATGACGTAACAAATCACTCTGATTAGACACTGCTAGTTAGTGCTACCATTTCTTGCTGTGTAATCTTGGGCAAATTACTTAACCCCTGTGTCTTAGTTTCACAACTTGTTACATAGGGATAACGATTTACCTACACCTCACAAAACTATTGTGAAAATTAGATAAGAATATGCATGAAAGCTAACAGTGCCTGGCACATGTTAGCTGCCTCTCTAAATGGTTGGCCTGGTGCCTGCACATGTTAGCTGCCCCTATATGTACTGTGAGAAATATTCTTGTGCACACTCTTGGTGTATATCCGTAATTTTTTTTCTCAGGATAAAAGTCCTAGAAGTGGAATTGCAGAATCCAAGGGTATGTACACTTTTAAAGTTTTTAATAATAATATCACATTTCCCACCAGAGAAGCCATAATAATTTATACTTTCATAATAAAATGCACTTTCCTGTACCCTTGCCAAAATGTGGTATCATTATTATTATTTTTTTAATCTTGAAAATCTGATACGTCAAAATGCTTCCACTAACATTTCTGTGGATACTAATGGAGCTAATTTTTTTTTTATATTTATAGCCATTTCTATTTTTTCTTCTATGAATCGCTTATTGATTCTTGTGAAGGGGAGAATTCTTTGCTTTCGTTTTTGTCCACTTTCCATAGTGGAAACATCTTTTTCTCAATGTTATGAAAGATTTTCTAATAAAGTAAGGCGAGACCTTATTCATCTGTAATGTTGTAAATGTCCCACTGCCTCCAGGCTGTCTGTAACCTCTTAAAGATCAGAAATCTAATTTTTACATAGGCAAATCCATCAACTGTTTCTTTTATGATTTATTTCCTCTTTAAGTTTAGGAATGCTTTCTCTATTTTGGAATCCAACGGTCAACTATATTTTATTCTAGTATTTTTCAGGTTTGATAGTATCTTTTATTTAACAATAAATCATTTAGAATATGATGGGAACATTGTAAATTATTCATTGAAATAATTTTAAATTGTAATAATAAGAATACCTGACCACCACAGACATTTCTGAATATCACAATAACATTTATGGGTAATTAATGTAGACAGATTGCCTGCTAAAGAAAGGCTCTGTCCAACAATCTGCAAATCTTACCTGTCTCAGGTAGGACAGGTGTGGTGCATTTAGGGTCATGACTATTTTGACCTAATGCAGACAAAAGACTGGGGTCTAAACTTGGGAATATGCTCAATCTCTTCCATCCAGAAACTTTATGGACCAGGCTATTTAAAGTGAAAATTTGTTTAGGGAATATTATGAAGTTGCTGGCTGTCTTTATCATACTCATGATCATACATACACCAACTCCCTGTCAGATAACACAGCCTTCCTTCCTCCCTCTACCAAAAATATGAGAGTTTTAGGGAACCTCCTATTCCCAGAAGCATACACTTAAGCAACAGGATGAGAAAAGATACAAATAAGTTGCTTGAAAAATCAGAAGCATGCCACATGTAGCAAATCAAGCAAATCTAGCTTTTCCATGGAATAGTGCCAATAAACCAGGATTTAGTGAAGACAGATGAGCCGCCAGGTTATGCCTCTGAGAGTTTGTGAAGAACTTAAAATGTAATTCACAGAAAAGCATTCTCTTATGAGAAAATAATCTGAACAAATCTGACGTAACAAATAAAGTTCCAGGCCATGCAGTCATTAAAAAAAATGAATTTAGAGGAAAATGTCCAATATTTTACAATGAAGTACACACAGAGCAGTCAGCTGATTTGAATCTTCATGCATTTACAAAGCAAATGGAAGGTAGAGATGCAACTGTGGTCTGAACCATACTTACAGGATAGCAAGTTTACCTGACTTTTCTAAATTTCCAAGCAGCTAACAATTAAGAAAACAAGAGACATTCATTGATTTGCAAATGTTTACTACGAATAACACCACAAAACACAAACAAACTATTATTGTGACCCACACAGTACAAACATTTTCCCCTCAAGCATTTGGAAAAAACGCAAGTAAATGCTGCTATAGACTAAGAAGCTGTGCTATAAAACTGACAATATACAATACTATCACATTGAAAAAAAGACAAAAACTAGGAAGAACTACACAGCACAGCAGGCCAATGGCAATTAATACAACTAAGGCTTTGGGGCATATAAAATGAATTAGTTAGCATTTCTGTTTAGATATGTCATGCGTGCAACTTAATTGTTCAAGAGAAAGTAATAAAGATTTGAAAGAAAATAATCCAACCAGGCAAGTGCAGGATTTGATCAAATGGTATCAAGTTTGGAGACAGAGCAAGTGATTGCATGTGGTCACTGTGGCATAAGCCTCCCCTCCACCCCCCACCCCCCCACACACACGCACACACAGGGTCACAGGGCCTAGCACACTCAGCGCACAGACTCATGGCATGATGGTGCAGCCCAGACCAACATGACGCAGTTCGAGGTCAGGAGGCCCTTGGTGGCTTGGCTGCTCAGCCCCAATGGTCAGAGGCAAGCACTCAGCCATTTCTGCGGGCTACCACACTGTGATCTGCAGCAGAATTGGAGACACATGCTCAGTGCACCTCTGACTCTGGGGCTGAGTGTGTGGGCAGGAGTGAAGATGTGCTGCAAAGATCCAGTTCCTGATACATTCTCTGCTGTATCTGGCAGCTGAGGGATAGGCACAGACCTCATTCCTGCATCAAATTCTCGATGCCAGAAAACCAATGATAATTTCTCAGAAAGTAGATAAAACGTGATAGCTAACTAAAAATGCTTTGAAGCTAGAAATACTTTCACTTTTCAAATCATGAAAAGCTGCCTCTAGTAAATGCATGCAGACACACAGCATGCACTAGGCATAACTCTCTAAAAGAAACGAGAAGTACAGGTTTCATTCTCTTAAAGTGAACAGAGAACTGAGGCTAACATAATTGCTGAGTCCTATAAAAATAAAATTCTAAAGCTCTTGTCTAGAATGTGTTCCTTTGGGAGAAAATCAAAAGAAAGGGAGAGGGAAGTGGGAGGTGGGGTGAAACTGGGGATTAACATTATACTGAAAAGTGCTCTCTTTGGCATTCACATTGAAATATTCCTAAAACATAATAATTTTCTAAAATGCCCAAACTAAAGATAACCTGACCTTTATCTAATTAAGATCCTGCCACACCTCAAGGTCACATAGATGAAAAGGTTGGGCTGAGTCAGTATCAGCTGAGGGGCCAAGTTACTCTTGGCCAGTGAAGAGCCGTGAGCTGTGAGCTGGCTGTGGGAGACACATCTTTGCAGCCCAGTTCTAGACCCCCAGCTATGTGAGCCCTAGCAAGGAAAGCTGCTTGCTGGACTGTTTCCTCCTCTGTGAAATGAGGAAACGCCATGACCTTCAGAGCGGAGTGAGGACTCAGAGTTAACACATGAAAGCTCCTAGTCCAGCGAGGGCCTTGAGGAAGAAAGTCATAAATCTTTCTACCTCTCGGTGCCTGTGTTTGCATCTGATCTGTCGTCACCCACATGCATGTTCTATCCCACAGGAGTACGATTAATGTGCAGAATGATGCTCAGCTCTGTACACTGGTTTATCACTTAGAGACTGGCACCACATGTTTTGATTGGCAGAATCTCTTAGTTGTGCCCCAGTTAGGCTGAGGTGTAGACTTCAGAGAGCTGGGAACAGTTTTATTTGGATGCCAGTGTTCAGACTGAGGATGTGTCAGAATATGGTCACATTTACAATGAATGTCCTCGTGCTTCCGTTCAGGGACGCTGGCCGTCTAACCCAGGGAGCAGACTGGGACACGGAGGGCAGGGCACCGAGATGAGGAAAGGAGGGAAGAAATCAGGCCAAGTTCAGGCACCCTGAGACGTACACCAGGAAAATAAGAGCTCCTCAAGTTCTGGCTGGTTAGATGGCAGCTCAGAAATTATTCCAAGGATGTTGAAAACTGTCAAAACAGAGAAATACAAAGGAAACTGCACCTGGCCGGTGACCGCATCACACAATCCCACACCTTGCTATGTGAGGCCCTGCCGAAGGGAAAGGGATTCACCAACATTGATGAAGAGAAAAACGGTGGCTTATGCTTAGTTTTAGACTCTGTTGTTAATTTAAAAAGTCAAGCTCAACACTGCCCATCTCCAATCACATCCTCCTACTTCCTAGTAGAATAAGCCTTCTTTTAAACAACACACTGGACGCCTCCTTTGCCATGCTATGGGCTTCCTTCTCGTTCTGAGCATTTTCACCTCCCCGGCAGAACGTCACAGCCTCTAAGTCCACACACCACTCTCCACAATGGGCAGCGACCGTCCACTTTCTCCTGCTTAGAGCACCGACAAGAAAAAGTCCTGAAAACCCAGCTGTCGCTTCCCATTTGCCTTCCTCTGTGTGGGTGGCTTGGCATGAGCCCTGTCCAAGGGTCATCTCTGCCCAGGAACAACGTGGCATCAAGACCCATTTTTATCATTCCATGGCTTATGGGGCAGTTTAACCTCACATTAAATTCAATCAAACCCGAAGTCATCCCCTTCCTCTGCCAAACCCCCAAATCACCATGGTGTCCCTGTTCACTGTCGGCCAAGGCCGCAGCCTCGGTCTCTCTCTTCCACCCACTCTCTTCAGTGTCACTGACGATCACTCTTTGATAGAATTCCTCCAACCATGTCTATACTCACGGACGAGAGTTCACGCATTTAAAAAGCACCACATAAGTCTTTTTAAAGCATTTGACATTTTGATCCCTTCTGTGTTATTATAATTTCTTTGTAATTATTATTTTTTTATTTTTTTAACACATACCTCTTTTGGTAAAGACACTAATTTATTTCTGTCTGCATTCAAGTTGCTCAGCTTCTTAAGTTTTCCAATGCTCTTAGGTAAGGTCTGTTAAAATAACATTTTTATTATTAACTTAACACATATTTTAACATGGCACAGTAAAACAGAGCTTTTCAAAGACTTGTAATCTCATCAAGGGACAGAAGCAAGCATTCTTCCTAAGAATCAAATATTTGTGAATTTCACTTGGGGATGTGGACTTAGATATTTTGCATTTTGGCTGGGAAGAGAAAAACACCTAATAAAGAGGTAATGAAGGCTTTTCAACTCAAATGAGAGTTTAATTATCTTCAAGATTCACCCCTACCCTGTGCGCACCTTCAAGAACCACACTGATGTGATCGCGTGGCTGTCTAAGAAGCCACAGTGCTGGGCAGGTGACCGAGTGCTGAGCAGAGGTGCCGTGACCCAGGGAAGAGAGAAGGGGTAAGGGCCGCTGTGTGGAGCACTGAATCCTACAGGTGGGGGTCTTCAACACTCCAAAGGACTCAGAGGGTAAATGTTATTTTTATTTATTTATGTTTAATGTTATTTTTAAAATTATTATGGCCTGGTTGGTGAGGCTCAGGGGTCAAGTGTCGACCTAGGAACCAGGAAGTCACGGTTTGATTCCCAGTCGGGGCACATGCCCGGGTTGCCGGCTCGATCTCCAGTGGGGGGCATGCAGGAGGCAGCTACTCAATGATTCTCTCCCATCATTGATGTTTCTATCTCTCTCTCCCTCTCCATTCCTCTCTGAATTTAATAAAATACAAATTTTTAAAAGGCTGTTATGATTACTATTTTTAAGCCTAAAACCAAAAACCAGGGCAGGAAAGTTTGGTCACTCCCCCCACGCCTGCCTGAGGAGTCGGCTTGCACTGCCTAAGGAGATGCAGCCCCTCTCCCGCTGATTCCGTCTTTGGTCAACTCTTGCTGTCCTTTGTTGCTCTTTTCACCAAAAGACCATTACTTACTCTTTTATGAAGGAGGAGGAGGAGGAGGAGGAGGAGGAGGAGGAGGATGGGAAGAAGGAGAAGAAAGAGAAGGAAAAGCAGAGTTAAAAATAAAGTGACAAAATGAAGACAGCAAAAAGGGAAATGTAGGAAAGTAAACTGAAGAAAACAATAGCGGCTAAAAGAGTATTAAAAAAGGAGAAAAGGGAGGTGAAGTGATAGATGGAGGACTGATGAAAACAAAGGCAGCAGCAGGAAGTGAGAAGGCAACTGAGATCTGCTGTCACCCTGCTGACCTGCCCCCGCAGGCGGTGCACGCCAAGGCCTGTGCCCCGGTAGGACCGGAAGCCTGGTCCAAGTGCGGGACTCCTGCAGTCACCTCCACCTTCTACTTCTAGGATGGGGTGAGCTCACATCAAAGCCCAGCAGATACCACTCTCTGGCTCCCCCCAAAAAGCATTCCTCCCCCAGTCCCACGAGGCTTTCCTGGCCAGCCACCATTTCCTGCCCATCTCTCCCACTCTTCCCTTTTGCCACAGAATCCAGAGAGAACAGTGTTTCCTCTGAGGCCCTTGGCACCCACGGCAGCGGCACATCCACCAACAATGCTGATCCCTGCCCCTCACTGGTGTCCGTGCAGTCCCTGTACTGGGAGCACCACAGTGGCACACACATCTGACAGGGGGGTGGAAACACCACTTCCCTCACTTACGCAGATTAAAAACCAGTCATCTTCGTATCATGTATTTGCTTCTTCGCAAGTCCCTTTTTTGTGTGTTACATAAGGGAATTTCCATTTAGTGCACCCAAGTTACAAATAAGTAGAATCCACCCTGATAAGTTTTATAAATACCCATTTGAATGCATAAACCACACTCACCAGGAGTCGGTTTTCTGTGAGAACCAATTCAGTGAGGCTCTCACAGTCACCAATTGTTTCAGGCAACTGTGTTAGTCTGTTCTGATCCACCTTCAAGATCGACAGCTTCTTTAGTTTTCCTGAAAAATTATTAAATTCATTAGTAACAATTGTTTTCCTAATCATCATTTGGTATTTCCTATCTGCTGTTCTTTCTTGTTATAGTTATTCATTTTTTCCTCACCCAGCTTTTCACATTATGAAATTACATCATTCTCATTCAGATCACTAAAGGTTGGGAGTTAAAACAATTTGCTCAGGACATCAAAAAGTCAGCAATTAGAAGCCAATCATTTTAAAAGTCCCTACCTAAAAGTATCATATCAAAGCCAGAAAATTTGAAGAAAATTAAACAGCTGGCTCTTAATGGATCTTTTAAAACAGGAGACAAGCTTTTATCTTAGTCCAAGAATCCTCCTACTAATAACAAAGAACACTAAAGTGCAGTTTATTCCATCACTTATGACTGAGCATGACTTAGTGACGATCCCTATATTGTAGTATTTCTATACATGCAGAATGAGATGGTCACCTTTGACAAGTGCCATGAAAGACCGAGTCCACCATGGAAAAGAAGAATCTGTTTACTGCAGCCTCCTCGGGTTCCCACTGAGTGAAGAAAATCCCAGGTCATTCAGATTCTCATTCTCAACTACAACTCAGGGGACTCTGCCCACAGAGCAGATGTCCTCTGCTATCTACTAAGAGTGGCTGGCATGATTAACCTTCCCCAGGAAAACCAGAAAGCAGCCTCTATCTTAGGAGAGACATAAAGCTGGAGAAAGGGAAATGTCGAAAAGATTAGCTTGTCTTGGGTGGCCTTACAGGGCAACGCAGAACTAACCTCCTTGAGCCCTTTATTTAGCACCACCAGCCATAATTACCACTGTCCCAGAGGGTTCTAGGCAACTGTGAACCCTGTCCTGTCAGGAGGCAGGCACACTGGCATTCCCCACAGGGCACACTGTATCCCACACTTGACACATCTCGCCCCAACAGGAGTCTCCCCAACAGTCAGACTGACGAGTGGTCTTGCAGCCTCCCTGGAATACTTCCAGCGACAGGGTGCTCACTTCTTCACTACGCAGCCCAGACTACCTTGTACAAATATCTCTCTTAAAGCCTTTCTTATCAAGTTGAGATTCATGGTCCTTGACTTTTCCCATTTGAACTGGAAGATATAATACATCTCCTCCTCCATGAGAGCCTTTCAAATGCTTGAAACTAGCCACCTCACGCCCCTGTTTCTTCCTATTACAGGCACTAAAACACCGCCAGCTCCTACAACTGCTTTCAGTTGCCATATATGATTCTCCGTGAACATTTCTACCTTGAGTCAAAATCCCCAAAAGGCAATGTCTATATGGTGGCTGAGCTGCTGTCACCTTCATCCTGACCAAACCCCAGGAAGGAAGCAGTCCTCTGCCATACAGTTTCTCCTACTGAAAGTTTCAGAAAACTCCCTTCGATGTTTTGAATAAAAGTTTAATGAAGGTCAAAGACAGAAATCCTATGACAACTATATGGTTAAATGTAGCTTCTTACAATTGCTTTGCTATGGTGGGGCTGCTAGTCCATATCTGTGTATACCTTCTCTGTTTGCATTTATTTTCTCAAACTTAAATGAATTTCTTTATGCTAAAGGAAATGTCTGGACTAATTTTTTGAAAAGAAACAGCACAGAATGGTTAATGTAAAGGATTATTCTCATTGTCTCAGAAAAGGCTCAACTCCAGTGCACCGTGCCAGCTTGAGCAGCCCTTCCCCAGGTTATGCAATAAGGTCAAAGTTACTTTCTCCTCAACTATTGAGAATGCTCAATTAGAAATTTCTTAATGAAGGCTCATGTGCCTGAAATACATTCAGTAGGCTAATCCCTACTGAAGTCATTGAGACAAGGTGTGGATGAAGTAGATAGGAGTCAACAATTTTAAGAAATAATATCTATAATTGCTATCAAACCAAGGTGAAGGAAATACTTTCCTATAGAAAACTTAAATTGTATTATTTTTGCATTCCTTCTTAAAAAACAAACAAGGAAACTAAAGGAATCACATCCCCAGCTCCTGACTGTGGTGACTGAAGGATCAGAGTCCTCCAAACCCCCGAACAGCCAGCACCTTTAGGAGTTAGTTATTCCCAATACGTACCAATGCCATCCGGAATCGTTTCCAGTAAGTTCTGGGAAATGACTAAATCTGTTAATGAAGTCAGGCCACTGATTTCTTCAGGAAGTCTTTCCAACCTGTTTTCAGAGACATCTAAGCACAGCAGGTTCTTCAGATTTCCTATTTCCTACATCAGTGACACAGAAAAAGAAACTCATGCTTAAACCTGCCATAGCACAGAGAAATGTCTTACAGTGATATTTTGCAACCAAAACCCAGAGTAGTCCTAAGGATGTTTCTTCAGCATCTATCTAGATGTGAAGGCTGGAGTAAGTTTCCAGACCCTCTTCCAATGAAAACGGGAAGCTGCATGAATCAGTCACAGAGCTGGGAGCGATGCCAAGTCCTCCAACTTCAGGCAGGCAAGGAATCAGTCACTTAACAGATGAAGAGATTGGCACAGAGAGAGAACAAACAACTTTAAGGTCACAGGACCAGGGGGAAACAAGAGGCTGGAAACCAGTTCTCCAAGTTTGGAATCAATCAAGGGAACCCTGAGATTTTTCTCTGTTAAGAAACCATCTACTTTTTGTCTCCCATGACAGGTAGTACTTGTTACAACAAATATCAACGCAGCTGCTTCCCAGAAAAACTGGAGCATACAGACCCACTGACACATTTAACGTCAAGGGAAGAAAGAACTCGCATACTGCTTTTAAGGAAAAACAGTCTACCCAGGAGTGGGACAAGTACCTGGATGAGTCTAACAGTCTATTCAAGAGTTACTCTCCCTTCCCTTCCATTCACAAAAGTCCATGTTTTCTCTTATAACTGCTTCCACTTTTCCATTCCACTGCCACTCAATTAAGTGCCCACCCTCATTACCCTCTGCCCTGGACTGTTAGCTCTGCCTCTTAGCCTCTCTCTACCCAAGTTTGTTCTATAATCTGGCTTCCGTATTTCCCTCCTGGAAACATAGCTCTAGTCACATTATCAGACCACCCATCTACTCAAAAAAAAGTCTAGTGGATTCCCAGTGTCTTCAGAAGTACAAATTCCTCAATCTGTATTTAATTTGGTCTAATCTATTCTTTCCGTTTATCTCCTACCAATATGCATCCTATGACCCGCCCCTGCATTTCCTGTCATGGGAAAGCAGACTACATGTCTATTAATTTCACACCTGATCCCTGCAGTTGTTCTACTTTTTCATTAATTCCTTTTAACGATGTCATTGTATCCTTTTCTTTCTGTCATCGATGGAGACAAAAATAATTCTGATTATTTGAAACTGCCTGGTGTGTTTAGTACTGATTTAACAGAAGTTTATACAAGAAAAGCAACTGAGGTGTTTAAATAACCATTTAAAACACAATCACTGGTATTTTAATGTCTTGGTATTTAGGATGTGGCACTTTGCATATAATCATTTATGCACGTTTGCACACACATAATACTCTTCCCCCCTCATGTCTAATAGCTGGTATTTTATTACTTCCCTGACAACTTCCTGGTATTTCCCCTCTCCAACCTTTGACTCCTAAAATAACTAGAATTCTCTCAATTAGGATTGCTCAGATTTTTCTAGAGAAATCTAAGTATCAAACCCCCACAACACCAATTGCTGATCGGCCCTATCCTTTGCCCAAATGCAGCCAAGACCTCAGAAATAGACTCAAATTAGTTCCAAATGCCACTAGCTCTAAAGTGATGTCATGGAAAATCCGGGGCTACTGCTACATCAGGTACATTTTCACTCTGGTCCATCTTTCTAGTGTCAAGGCTCCCTGGGCGACATGGCATTCCCCACCTGAAGTGCACAGGCACCACACTGGTGCTCACTGCTGGGCAGAGACAGATGAGAGGTACTGTCAAATACAAGCACCTGCCCATCATGAAATAAACCCTGACTTTAAGACTGGCTGGATTACGCACCAGAGGATGAAATTCAGTAATAGTTGGAGGGGAAAAAATAAGAGGAAAATGCCCATTTGTGAAATAAAGAATTTTAATATTGCTTTCACACCATTTACAGGGCAAAATGTGGTCATAATTATGCCCAAGGCACATCATAAAGAGTGGCAGAAATGCATACCATCAGAATCAGGGGTCCCGGAAATTTATAAATTTGCTGGACTAGACATAAGCCATGTGGGTAGCAAGGATTAAGACTTCACACACTAAAGGATATAGTTTCTATCTTTAGTAATAGTGGGTTGGGGCTCTCAGTTTTTCTCTGGCAATACAGCATAATGAATGCTCAATATATTTCTCCAAATGTGCTCTTTCAACCAAAGTTTTTGGTTTTTAAGATCCCTTTTATAGCACTGCCAGCATGGCTCAGTGCTTGAGTGTCGACCTATGAACCAAGAGGTCACGGTTTGATTCTCGGTCAGGGCACATGCATGGGTTACGGGCTTGATCTCCAAATAGGGGGTGTGCAGGAGGCAGCTGATCAATGACTTCTCTCATCACTGATGTTTCTATCTCTCTCTCCCTCTCCCTTCCTCTCTGAAATCAATTAAGATTATATATATATATAAATCCCTTTTAAAGAAACTCTCATGTAGAAGCAGGGAAGATATGAGAGTGGTGGTGGCTACTGGTTTATGTTTGGGGGAGAATAAATGAAATTACCACGTACCTGAGGTAATTCTGAAAGTTGATTTCCATCCAACCAAAGATCCTTTAGATGTACGAGAGCTCCGATTGATTCTGGCTAAAACAAAAAGAATAATGTTATGGTAACAAAAATCCAACTTTGTCTTCCATTAAGAAAGAAAAAATCCTACTTTCAACAGTTAATGATGGGGTACCACAGAGGATGTCTGTTGGTATTTCTCTAATATCAAGCCCTCTTCATAAGAGCACCCCCAACACTCAACAATGCCAGTCATGTCCATGTATGCCCATCATCTTTGGCCCTAACCCTCCCTGCCTCCCAATCACAACTCTTTTATTATATACTGCAGGCCTGGTGCACACAATTTGTGTGTGGGTGGGGGGGGGAGTCCCCCTCAGCCCAGCCTGCACCTTCTCCAATCTGGGACACATTGGGGGATGTCTGACTGCCGGCCGGCCTGGTCGCCCCCAACTGCCCCCCTGCCAGCCTGGTCGCCCCTCACTAACCCCCCTGATGGTCTGGTCACCCCACGCAGCCTGCTTGTTCAGTCATTTGGTCATTCCTCACTAACCTCCCTGTCAGTCTGGTTGTAGGCAGCCATCTTGTGAGGGTTAATTTGCACATTACCTCTTTATTATATATGATGTTTTTATTGATTTTAGAGAGAGAAAGGGAGAGAGTGACAGAAACATCAATGATGAGAGAGAAACATTGATCAACCTCCTACATACCCTTTTACCAGGGATCGAGCTTGCAACCTGGGCATGTGCCCTGACTAGGAATCAAACTGTGACTCCTGGTTCATGGGTTGATACTCAACCACTGAGCTACACTGGCCAGGGCACAAATCACAATTCTTAACCCATGTGAACTATAGCACATTCTTTTATGCTGCCAAGCTAAACATGTGGAAATACTGGTTTAAAAGCATCCCTACAGATCTCTCTCAAAATTTGTGTTCATAAGTAAGAAAAAAGTTAAATTCAAAGCACTCTACAATACAGACTTACCAAATTGTATATTTCATTGTTTCCTAAGTCAAGTTCTTCTAGTCTCCGTAGCTGAGTAAGAGAGCTATTAAAAAAAAAAAAAAAAGCTCTTAGATAATACTTAGAAATACCAAGCAATGTGGTATTCCCTCACTTAAAACTAGTTTCCAAGAATAAGATTATTTGGATTTTATTAATATTGCAAAGGACGGACCACTAAGAGAAAGTTGACATCTCCCAAACTTTCCATAAGATACAGAATCTCTTTTTGACAAAATACAACAGTGCTTTTTTTTTAATGTTTGAAGAAATTCATTCGGTACAAAATCCCTCTTATTTTCCCCAGACTCACTCAGGAAGATATGTAAGAAGATTCTCTCTCAGTTCCAGTGAAGCCAGGTTATAAAGACTAGAAATGAACAGAAGAAAAAAGTGTAAGGAAAATTCCTGAGATTCTTCCTACTCCCCCTCCCAATACACACTCCATAAGGAGCAACTCTTAATGAAACCTGAACATTACTTCCCAGTGGGAAACCATCGCCACCACCCCACCACCACCCCCATTAAAAACAACATCACCTCTACCTCCCACATTTTAATTTTAAAAGAAAAAGAGTAGTAATCGTCACTATAAGGCACCCTCATTCAAATTTCTTGTTCATTTAATATATGCAAGTAACTCACTAGCAATCATTGAAAGACAACCATTCCCAGGACCAAGACAGAAGCAGGATATGTTCTCCTAGGCTCCAGAATGTCAAAAATGTGCTGTTACCATAAAAACAGTAACCTCACGGAGCTCAGAGCTCTTCTTCCAAACATCGGCAAGAAACCACCCCTGTCTGACATAAGTGGGCACTCAGTCCAAAGAGCCCAAGTACTCTACTTAATTAAGATCATAAACTAGGAGCAAGCAGTCGGAGCTCTATGGAAATAACTGATTTAAATGCATTAGGGATAATGTAATAGCACAGCTCACATGGTCCCTGGAATGCAAGTCTGACTCAGTAAGTGCAGCTATTATAATGTTTCTTTTATTTCTATTAAACCCCAGAATGGTACTCTTTTCAGCAGATTCTGCTGCCTCTTGTATAATCCATGCCTAACAGGAGCACCATGAAAGGAGACAGGTGTTCTCCCCAGACACTGATTGGTGGCAGTTCCTCATCACCAGCAACCTCGACATCCAAATGCTGTCAGCACTGGCATAACAAATTGACTCAGAAGAGACTGATTTGCCTGTTACTCCAACAGGCACTGTACTAAGCTCTATACCAATTGAAAGTTCAAGTTTCTGCTAACATCACCATAGTAACGTCCAGATTTGGAGAATTTTTATGTGTGAGCACACAGACATTATCCCAACACTCTAATCTGCCTTAATCCTCTATTTTCCTTCCAATACACAAGCCAGAATCATTGGTACAAACAAAGCTGGTTTCATAACACTGGAAAATGGAAACGTGATTGCATGAAGAGTATTATTTATATACTTAAAGCCCATTTGCTTGAAAATATATTTTAACTATACAATGACATGCACAAATTCTGTATCACCTCCAATTATAGAAACGGAATAATAGTTTTCACAATTGAAGCAAGAGCAAACAAATAAAACACTTTAGAATGCATTATTTTTGAAAAATAAAAATCCCTGATAATAAGCAATTATGAATTTAATAACATCCTCCAAATAAAATGCAAACAGGTGGGAAGCTGGAGCTGTCTGGTTCCACTTTCTCTGGGCCACGTGTTTACACAAAAGAAATAACAATGGGAAGGAGGGAGTGGTGAGGACCCCAGCCAGCATCTACTTCAAAAAGCAATCACAAGATAAGGGTGATAAGTAAGATTTTAAAAGATGTTGCAAAAGTAAAGATTTCAAAAGAAAGAGCTTCTTTTTCAGTTTTAAATTTTCATGTGACCCCCTAGCCGATTTTATTGGGGAGGTGGTAATCATTTGGCTATTTTCACATTTATCTTTTTAAAATCGCTACTAGAGCTGTCATTTCATATCTTCATTACTTTCACACCTAACACTGTGACACACTAAAGACTTCCTCACTAAACACAAGGGGGGAAAGAAGTCCTTTGCTTCAAAAACTTTCCTCATTGGGCGTCAGAAAAAGCTTGTTAAGGCAGTTTGACAGGCCTTGGTGCTGAGTGTGCTGCTTACCAAGGTCTGCAGGCTTCACTGAGGCTTTTCCTTCCTCAAACACAGGGACGGGGCTGGGGAGACACCTGCCCACTGCATGTGGCAGGAGGTGCCTAGCAGGGCTCCTTACAGGGCTCACCTTTTAATTAACAACAATCAGCACCAGAGCTGGGATGACACAATCAGGAATGTGAGGCTTAGTGTGAGGTCCACTGGAAAGTGGCAGGGCCACAATTCAAATCTGGTTGAGAGCCAACACTGCAGGCCTGCTGCTTCCCTGCCCCCAGGCATTCTCTGGAACTTTCTGGTTATCATTTAAATTTTAAAAACACCTGCCAATTTGGGATGACTACATCTTACCTTCCTAACCACAGCAAGGACACTGGGATTTTTGTTGGTTTACATGTCATTTTAAAAATATGATACACATTTTTTAATTATCTTTAAATTTTGTCTTGAAGGTAAAAGGCATAGTCGGCCACAGTTACTAAGGAAATAATGCTTGAGCAAAAATATTGCAAAGACTTACAGACATATGCAACTTAATAATGTCCTATTAGATTAAACACATAGTTCCCACTCCTATCATGTTAACATCCAAATATAATATCCTCTTAAGTAAAAAAGGTCCGACTCAAAAGCTCTTAGTTTCTATTGTTTTTGGATAGTAAGGAAAAGATGACTCTCCAGGTGTTACAACAACAAATATCATAGTTTGTAACCTTTCTAAACTCAAAAATTAACTTAAAGTAAATAAAATAATAGCCTTTCTGAGGTAATACTTCCCCATAATTTTAAACTATTTAAAATGAAGAACTCGAACATTATAATCAGACTACGGACCCACAGATGAAAGTGTCCTTCTAAAAAGAGTATGTGGAGTTTGAGAGACCAGAGCCCCGGCTCCAATACTGGCCTGTCCCTCACTAACCAGCTAAGGTGCTTCACCACTGTATCTCAATTTCCCCTAAAATGAATACAATCATATCTACTACTACTACTACTACTAAAGGCCTGATGCAGGAAATTTGTGCACAGGGGTGAGGGATGGGGGGGGGTGGGAGGGTCCCTCAGCCCGGCCTGCACCCTCTCCAATCCAGAACCCCTTGGGGGCTGTCCGACTGCCTCTCGCAATCCGGAACCGG